ATCAGTGCAGGGAGACAGCACAAGTAGTTTGTTGGTCTCAGGCTATATAAATAGGATGACTTGGCTTTCTCTACTTTTGGAAATGTTTTTGATTTTTGCTACCATTAAGCTACTAGAGGCATTATTTTGCCTGAGAGATCAAAACTGAAAAGTATCTTCAGGTGGTGTCAGCTTGCTAAGAATTGTAGAGTTTCTTTTCTTTAATTGTCTTCATTTTCAATATTTTTAGATAATAAAAGAATTCTATGGCATTTTGATTTGAAAAGTTTGAGATTCATACACTGAAAGTTCCAGTCTGGGAGCCAAGAGAATGGTATTTTTGCTTGTTTAAAATTCCAAACATATGACTTAAGGCAAGTCCTTTAAAAGTTATCCCAAGAAAAAACAAAGATAGTGATGTTTATCCTAACCTACCACTTACGGAATTTTATAATTGGATATGACCTTAGGGATTATCTGCTTCTACCTGGTAATTTTATGTGTACAGAGACTGAGGCTTTGAGAAGCTCAATGATTTGCCTAAAGACATTCAGTGTGTTCATAGCAGACTGGAATTTTACATATATATATGTAAAATTTACTGTCAAGTTGGTTTCCATACAACACCCAGTGCTCATCCCAACAGGTGCCCTCCTCAATGCCCATCACCCACTTTTTCCTCTCCCCCACCCCCATCAACTCTCAGTTTGTTCTCAGTATTTAAGAGTCTCTTATGGTTTGCCTCCTTCCCTCTCTGTAACTTTTTTCCCCCCTCCCCTCCCCCATGGTCTTCTGTTAAGTTTCTCAGGATCCGCATATGAGTGAAAACATATGGTATCTGTCTTTCTCTGCCTGACTTATTTCACTTAGCATAATACTCTCCAGTTCCAACCACATTGCTACAAATGGCCAGATTTCATTCTTTCTCATTGCCAAGTAGTATTCCATTGTATATATAAATCACAGCTTCTTTATCCATTTGTCAGTTGATGAACATTTAGGCTTTTTCCATAATTTGGCTATTGTTGAAAGTGCTGCTATAAATATTGGGGTACAAGTGACCCTATGCATCAGTACTCCTGTATCCCTTGGGTAAATAAATTCCTAGCAGGGCTAATGCTGGGTCATAGGGTAGAATCTATTTTTAATTTTTTGAGGAACCTCCATACTGTTTTCCAGAACAGCTGCACCAGTTTGCATTCCCACCAACAGTGCAAGAGGGTTCCCCTTTCTCCACATCCTCTCCAGCATTTATAGTCTCCTGATTTGCTCATTTTAGCCACTCTGACCGGCGTGAGATGGTATCTCAGTGTGGTTTTGATTTGTATTTCCCTGACGAGGAGTGACATTGAGCATCTTTTCATGTGCCTGTTGGCCATCTGTATGTCTTCTTTAGAAAAGTGTCTATTTATGTCTTCTGCCCATTTCTTCACAGGATTATTTGTTCTTCGGGTGTGGAGTTTGGTGAGTTCTTTATAGATTTGGATACTAGCCCTTTGTCCGATATGTCATTTGCAAATATCTTTTCCCATTCCCTCGGTTGCCTTTTAGTTTTGTTGATTGTTTCCTTTGCAGTGCAGAAGCTTTTTATCTTCATGAGGTCCCAATAGTTCATTTTTGCTTTTAATTCCCTTGCCTTTGGAGATATGTCGAATAAGAAATTCCTGCAGCTGAGGTCAGAGAAGTTTTTTTCCTGCTTTCTCCTCTAGGGTTTTGATTGAACCCTGGATTCTTCTTACTAATCTAATGTGATTTGTTTTTTAACTCAAATATGATGAATTTAGAGAGCATTTAGAAAGATTTCAAGATTCCAAAATAATGAGTCTATACAAACCATGACTAATATAATGTGTTATGTGATATAAAACATTAAAAAATGCTGTTACATGAATTTCAAAAAGCAGTATTTATTTTTATAGCTGAGTTTAAACTCAAATATCTTAGAAGAGCCCCATAATTTCTTGTCAAGTATCAAATAACCTGATTTAAAGAAGATATTATTTTCTTCTTTATTATCGACATACAATATCAATTTGTATAGCTTTCAAAGATTAAAAATGTTTCATTTGATCCTCACAAACAGCACTGTAAAAGTAATTGCTAATTATTATTGAGTGTTTACTATGCACCAGGAACTCTTCTAAGTGCTTTCTACCTATTAACTGCACCCTCAAAACAACCCTAGTTAACTATTATTGTCCTCATTTTATAGATGAGGAAACCCAGGCACAGAGAAGTAACTTGTTCTGCCTTGAGGCTGAGTGAGGACTGGCTCTAGAAAAGATGCCTTTAGCTACTTTGCCACAGAGCTTATGTGGGCAGGACAAAGGTACAGATTGTTCTTTATCTTTTTCCCATGGCTTTTTGTTTTGTTCTATTCTTCCAACACTGCTATTTACACAGAACACTTTACCTAAGTACCCCTTCCAAAGCCATATGATGCATTATACAATTTGGCACTGGCCATGTCTAGGGCATTAGGGAGAATGTTTCTCAAGGTATTAAAAAAATTATGATAATTTTTCTTATAACTAAAATGAAATAAAGTCTTTAGTTTTTTTACTTTTCTATAGTTGAGGCTTCAAATTACAGCAGTTAAACCCTTAGACAATATATCTTGTTTTATACTTCAACTTTTATTACAAATAGGTCTTTCCTCTGTTACACTGTTCAATTTGCAAACTTTATTTCAGGAAAAAATTGTAATTTCATATAATTATTTTTCTATATTATACAAAAAGAAGAAAATCAAGAGAATGACGAGACAAGTCACAGACAGGGAGAAAATATTTGCAAAAGACACATTTGATAAAGAACTGTTACCCCAAATGTACAAAGAACTCTTAAGACTGAACATTGAGAAAACAAACAACCCATTAAAAAATGGGCCATAGACCTTAAATGACACCTCAAAGAAGATATACAGATAGCAAATAAGCATATGAAAAGATGTTCCATGTCACTTGTCATCAGGGAAATGCAAATTAAGGCAGCAAAGAGATACCAGTACACATCTATCAGAATGGCCAAAATTTGAAACACTGACAATCCCCATTGCTAAGGAGGATATGGAGAAGCAGGAACTCTCCTTCGTTGCTGGTAGGGATACAAAATGGTGTAGACACTTTGGAAGACAATTTGGCAGTTTCTTATAAATATAAACATACTCTTCCCATATGATCTACCAGTCACATTCATTGGTATTTACCCAAAGGAGATGAAAACATGTCCACACAGAAACCTGCACATGGATATTTATAGCACCATTCATTAATTGCTAAAACTTGAAAGTAACCAAGATGTCCTTCAGTGAGTGAATGGATAAATAAACTGTGGTACATCCAGACAGTGGAATATTATTTAGTGTGAAAAAGAAATGAGCTATTAATCCATGAAAAAACATGAAGGAAGTTTAAATGTATATTACTAAGTGAAAGTAGACAATCTGAAAAGGCTACATACTGTATGGTTCCAACTTATGGCATTCTGGAAAAGACAAAACTATGGAGACAGTAAAAAGATCAATGGTTCCTAGAGGAAGGGATGAATAGGTGAAGCACCGAGCACTTTTAGGGCAGTGAAAATATTCTATACTGTAATGATAGATACATGTCTTTATTCATTTGTCCAAACACATAGAATGTACAGAAACAAGAGTGAACCCTGGTGTAAACTATTGACTTGAGTGATTATGGTATGTCAGTATAGGTTCACCAGTGGTAACAAATGTACTATTTTGGGGATGTTGATAATGGGGCATGCTGTGCATGTGTAAGGTCAGGGAGTATATGGGAACTCTCTGTACCTCCCTCTCAATTTTGCTGTGAATCTAAATTGATATAGACAAAGTATTTAAAAGAGAAGATAGAAGAACAGAAATGAATGGAACTAAGTGACCCATAGGAATAATAGAGATGGAGAGAATGAATTTAGGAGGATGAGACTGAGTGAAAGACACAGATTTATAGGTGGAGATGATGAGTTCAGTTTTATATTTTATAATGTTTATTTGTGGAGCACTTACCGTGAACCAGGTACTGTGTGAATATTTTGTAAATTAATCCTCAGAACCACCTAATGAAGTAGATACTCCCTGTACATGTGGGAATAGAAGCTTAGAGAGGAGTTAGCAACTGAAGTTTCATTACAAGCAATAGACAGAGCTGGGACCCAAATCCCAACGGATCTGGCTGTCTAGGGGATGTGCCCCCAACCACCCTGCTATACTCTTCTGAGATGCTTGTGGAACTGCCGTGTAGAGATGTGCACCTAGACAGTTTTAAATAAAAGTCTGAGACCCAAGATTAGCCATGAATGCATAGGTGACTAGAATGGGAGTGGCCACTGAGGTGGAGATTAACTGAAAAGAAGACAAAGGATGACTTGCCCCTTTGCACGGGTTTAGGTGAGAAATAACTTCATGACAGCGAAGGCAGGGAAATGCTGGTCATGTCATTGGTGCACTGGCCTAGGGACATGCTTGTCATCTGTTATGGGTGAGTTTATTGCAGTCAGGTCTACAGTCAGGGGATTGATTAGATTGATGAGATTCACAATTTAGGACTTTTAGGAAAATCAGTATTAGCAAATTATCAGCATCAATCATCAGTTAGGATTTATGACAGGAACTAATAATAATCAGAATACCCTTAACAAACAACCCCATTGAAGGAAGCCAACTTTGAAAAAGACTTTTCTTACGTTCTAATCAGGTATTTATGACAACTGTCACAGCAGAAGAAATGGCTTTATTTAGGGTGATTTCATTATACCCAGTAAACTTGGACTGTACCTACACAGCTATTCATCTCCAATCAGATGGCCCACCCTAAAACAAGTATAACAGATGGGATTGTTTTTCTTTTCTATTTACGGTTGTCCATACTTTGCAGACTGAACCTTTAGTGATCCTCTAAGCCATCTTCTGTCCTTTGGGAATAATGCTGTGGCAAAATACTGTGGGCCCTGTAGTTTGAAATGGACAGACACTCTATGTGTGCCAGTGCTGTGTAGAAGATGTAACATCACGGTCATTCCGGCTGAAAGCTCAGACCCTGTTTTCAGCTGGGATCAGGACTCTGTAGCCTTGATTTTAAGATGGATAAAAGTGAAATGTGAAAATAAAAAATGCATCACTTACCTGGTTATGCTACTTTAAAACTGTTTAGTCTTGAAATTCTGTGAAGCCCCATATGGTTTTTCAGATTCCTACTCCCCAGTAAACTAATCTATCTAGTTTTCTTCATTTTTCTTTTCTGTTGGCTACTTATACAGAGATTCGAGACGCTAATCAAAAGCAGTATCCACATCACATTTTTTCATCTATTCTGTTTTTTACTCTCAAGAAATGTTTACATACAAAAGTATGTAAATTTTCTGTTTCCAAGAAACAACCTTAAATGAAGACTTTGACCCTCTTCCTTTCCACTTCTTGGAAACAGCTGCCTTGGATCAGAGATTTCTAGATTTCATCATAGTTCCATCAGGGATGAGCCCTGAGGCAATGGGCAAAGTATTCAGACACATTGGTCCTCAGTTTCCTTATCTGTGAAATGAGAATAACACGTAATGCTTTAGAATGTGAAGATGCAATGAGACGTATTTTCTGTATCTAACAAGTTTCTTGGTCTACGGTAGGCATCCAATACATACTCGTGTCTCTCTTGTCCTCTCCCCCTCTCTTTCTAACTTACACTCCTTTCTTATCCTCCTGCTGGAAGGGAGAGGACTGAAGACAATAATTTTGTGTCTAGATAGGTCTTCAGTAACACATGGGAAAGATTTCCCTCTGATTCTACCTTTATACACTTTCTTTGCCCCCCTTTGCAGCCAGCCCTGGCTAAGCCTCCTGGCTTGAGGTTGTACTCTGCTGTTTGTGTATTTCTCTCAAAATCTCCTTTCTCTTGCTTCCCCCATTTCTCTACTTTTTGCAGCAGGCTCAGGGATTGCTACCTGTAAGAGAGGAAATATAATATATAAAGACCACTCAAAGGGTGGGGTAAAATTGCCCTCAAAACCCTCTGCTGCAATTCTGTGTGTGCCTAGAAACTGGGAAGTGCACAAGTGTATCACTCAATCTTTACCTGGTGAAGTAGCTCCATAGGATGGAGGTCTTTAACCTTCTTTGTACTGGGCTACACATCTGAATGACATTCTCATGCTCCACATACTTCCTTGGAGGCAGAGATTTGATGGGTTATGGGTTATGGACGACTACAGCCTCTAGCTATAGCCGTACCTTCTCCCTCCACCTTCTCTCCTAGGAAGGAAGTGCAAGTGAATTTGGGTGAGATTATTATGGGCACAGCCTTTAATCTATCCTTGTATATAAGAAAAGTGAATCACGTTTACTGCTTAGTGCTTTTTATTAATAACAGTTTACTGCCTCAAACTTCACAACTGGATTGTACCCTGGGTCTGAAAATTACAGTTGGTTGTAAATTGCTGCTTTAGAAAGATGTTAATCATCTGGGGTGCCGGGGTGGTTCAGTCAGTTAAGCATCCGACTTTGGCTCAGGTCATGATCTTACGGTTTGTGAGTTCAAGCCCCACGTTGGGCTCTGTGCTGACAGTTCAGAGCCTGGAGTCTGCTTCAGATTCTGTGTCTCCCTCTCTCTCTGCCCCTCCCCCGCTTGTGCTCTGTCTCTCTCTCTCTCTCTCTCTCTCTCTCTCTCTCAAAAATAAAAACGTTAAAAAAAAAGAAACATGTTAATCATCTATAAAGTAAGATAGTTGGGTTTGGTGATTTTGAAGGTTGCTTTGAGCTTTTAAACATACTAATTCTTTACATTGTGCCACAAGGTCCCAGACCATATTGGTAATAGATGGCCAGGTTGCTTCTGAAAGACCTGGTGACGTGGGCTGAGTTGTGTCTCTTAAAAAGGTATGTTCAAGTCCTTACCCCCAGTATCTGTGAATGTAATATTTAGAAAGGGTTTTTTTCAGATGTAATCAAGTTAAGATGAGGTCATACTTTATTAGAATGGAACCTAATTCAGTGATTGGTGTCCTTCTAAGAAGAGGGAAATTTGGACGCAGATGGGGAGAGAACACCATGTGACAGTAGGGGAAGAGATTGGAGTGATACATCTCCAGTCCTAGGAACATCAAGGACTATTGCAACCTCTAGGGGCTAAGAGGGAAACAGAACAGATTCTCCCTCAGGACATCTAGAAGAAACCAACCCTGATGACATTTTAATTTCAGACTTCTGTCTTTCAGAGCTGTTATGTAATGCATTTATGCTATTTTAAACCTGTTTGTGGTAATTTGTTATGTCAGTTCTAGGAAACTAATACACCTGGCAAACTTGGGCTTTAGTTAATCCTGACCTATGTTTAACGTTTTGTGTTCAGTCATTCCTTTCACGTGCTCTGCAACAGGATGTGTCTCTTCAGCAGGCATGTGCATGAGAACCTGGTCTGTGGGGCTTCTTCATCTGGCCTCTTCCCATGAAAACCCTGCCATCTTGTCTTTCTAAGGTACTTACTTTTTAGTTTCCTGGGAAGTTGATTCCTATGGATTCTCTTGACCAGTTTCTACTGGGATCCTTCTGTGGGATTGACTTCAAACCTAGATTGGAACTGAGAAGAGATTTTAGAAAACCATTCTTGACCTCCCTTTACTGGTGTGATTTTAATGTATCATTTTCATGTCAAGGTGACCACCAGGAAATTAAAACAAATTTTAAATGTTTATCTTTTTTTTTTATTTATATATGAAATTTATTGTCAAATTGGTTTCCATACAACACCCAGTGCTCATCCCAAAAGGTGCCCTCCTCAATACCCATCACCCACCCTCTCCTCCCTCCCACCCCCCATCAACCCTCAGTTTGCTCTCAGTTCTCAACAGTCTCTTATGCTTTGGCTCTCTCCCACTCTAACCTCTTTTTTTTTTTTTTTCCTTCCCCTCCCCCATGGGTTCCTGTTAAGTTTCTCAGGATCCACATAAGAGTGAAACCATATGGTATCTGTCTTTCTCTGTATGGCTTATTTCACTTAGCATCACACTCTCCAGTTCCATCCACGTTGCTACAAAAGGCCATATTTCATTTTTTCTCATTGCCACGTAGTATTCCATTGTGTATATAAACCTAAATGTTTATCTATTAAAAAATTTTTTAATGTTTATTTATTTTTGAGACAGAGACAGAGTGTGAGTGGGGGAGGGGCAGAGAAAGAGGGAGACACAGAATCCGAAGCAGGCTCCAGGCTCCGAGCTGTCAGCACAGAGCCTGATGCGGAGCTCGAACTCACGAGCCATGAGATCATGACCTGAGCTGAAGTTGGACACTTAACCAACTGAACCACCCAGGTGCCCCAGAATTTTTTTTTTAAAGACATTATCCAACAGTCTCACAAGAGTGTCATTTTATGCTGATGGGGTAATTTGTCCCCTTAGAAAGAGCTATTTCTTGAGTAATTACTTTGGGTACTAAGTGACAGGCTCAGACTATTTTAGGTCTCCAGGGCCTTGTCTCATGACATGCATTTACCTTGAGGATAATGCATGTGGCAGGTATTGCCTGTGACTCATTGCTCTTCCAGGAGCTCACCTCACTGTTCAGGTCTTTAGCAGACAGCAGCATATGATGGGTTGGAAGATTTGCTGCCAGTTGGCTGCTCATGTAAGATTGGCATAGAAGGTTGTCCTTGTTCCTGACTAAGCATCTTTACACTCAGAGTAGATGTGTGACAGCCCAAGAAATCACTAGACGTGAGAGAATTTGTGATAGCCAAATATTACATTTGATAGTTTTATGTAAGTCTTCCAATTTGAAGCAGCCTCACTTAAACTAATATGGGTTTACATAAAGTTATTTTTCTTTGTGCTCCCTAAAATACAGACTTAATAAGCTATATGTTGATTTGTACTAAAAGGTGTAAAGAGACATGAACTATTTAAATTAATTTAAAAATATTTAGAAAAACCCTTCCAAAATTTATAAAACACAAAGTATTTTCAGAGTGATAATATGTATTAAAGTAACATTCACATCTTTCAACTTCCATTTTGTCTCCATTTTCCTTAATGTGATTAACATTGAGTCTGTTGTAAGTCCCGTCTTATCTTTTCATGGCCTGGGTTGTAATTAGATTTTACACAGATTCTCTGTTTCAAATCCATAGCTAAAGTCTGAGTGCCAAAGTTGTTCAGTGCTATCCTAGTAATACTGCCTTTTGAATTTCCCAAACTCCATGCAGACGGGGATAAAATGTTCATTGCCTACCGTGTCCAACAAGGGTGTGAATGTTCAGATTTATAAGATAATTCTTATTATTTCCATTTTATACATGAGGAAGTATAGGTTCAATTACTTTCTCTCAAATATATAAAACAGCAGCAAAATAGGAAGATTGTTCTGTTCCAAAGGCCCACTGATTTCATACCAAGGGTTTGAGAATCCGCTCTCACAAAAATATTCAGACAAAATCATACAGTGTAATGTAATCTCATTACTGGATTTTATTTATTTTTTCCCACACACAATTTAATTACTAACCTTTAGTGACAAACTTTTTGGCTCCTTTGTGGTTTTAAAATAGGAGGCAGACCTCAAGCCAAAGACCCCAAAGCAAAACATACAATTTTTTTTCTGATGATGACATTTTTCAGACATGGTTTTTCCTGCTGTCAGATATGATAAAAGGCTTGGTTTATAACTTGACCTAAGCCTTACCTGGGTCTTGCCTGGCAGAAATATGTGTTTCACTAAATTAACAACAGATCCCAAAGTAGAAAGAAAACTCAAGCTAATCCCCAGAGTCAGTATTTTGTCCCTATAACCTGCAGGTGTACGAGAACCACAGAAATCAGTTTAACATAGTTTTCCATTTTTGTCCTTTCAACTTCTAAGATGGCAACTGTTGGTTTCAGTTTGTCTGGAGATTTCACGTTACAGAGCTGTCAAGAATTCTAGGAGCTACAAGGAGAGAGCCCTGAAGATAAAGTTCATTGATTCATGACTACACTCATATAAAACATGAATGGAATTTTCAATGGCCAGAAACATAAGGATGTGTCTTACATTTAAAAAAATCAGAATTTGTGTATAATGAGAAAACACCTAATATTACTATGGTACTTTTCAGTTCATAACATGCTTTCATTTAATTCCTGTAATGATCCTATTAAGTAGTGGAGTTGTTGAGTTACAGTAGTACCCAGAACACACACACACACACACACACACACACACACACACACACACACACACACAAACGTATACACATACAGGCATACATATATGTTCAGTTTTCTCTCATATAAAAAAATACCCCAAACACCACCATCTCCTCAAACTTTATTAATCTCACACTTTATTAATTTCTAAAATTCTTGAAAGGTAAAAGTGTTCCTACAGCTGCCTTCAAGTCTTTATTACTACTCCATGAAATCACATTTAATCTTTACCATTATAGAAAATCTCTCTGCTATTAGTGAGTTTCTTGTTGCCAAATCTAGTGGATTTTCTTTTTTTTAAAATGGTTATTTATTTTGAGAGGGAGAGAGAGAATCCCAAGCAGGCGCCATGCTGTCAGCACAGAGCCCAACTCAGGGCTCAATATCACTAACTGTGGGATCATGACCTGAGCCAAAACCAAGAGTCAGATGCTTAACCATCCAGTTGGACTGAGCCAGCCAGGCACCCCATGGCTCTTTTTTTTTTTAATTTATCATCCAAAGCTGTTTGTAGTTTTGGCTTCCATTGATCAACTTCATCTTTTCCTGTTTGGTCTTTCTTTTAAATGCTCCTTACCATGGCTTCTACAGCAATGTAGTTTTCCTCCCACTACTCTGTCCATTATCTCTCAGATGTCTTTGCTGGGGCCTCCTCCCTTTCTTCTGGAAAATGTGTACATTCCCTAGGATTGTGCTTGTGATTCTTTTTTCTTTCTGGTTCTCTCCTGTCAATCAGGGGACTCGGGAGCCCACCCCTTCCTCCCCAGCAGTAATTTTACCTGTTTCTGTTCATCCCCCTCATCTACTTTCTACTACTGCTATCCAGGTTCCACCCTGGCCCCTTCCCTCTCTCCTGATGACTGTGTCCTTCCTGTACTGACAAAGCAGATCTGGAGGCTGTGAGCCTTAGCTTTTTGTTTCACAAAAATTTGACCTCTAAATGAACTCACTGTGACCTCCTGACTTTCAGTTTATGAGGGAAAAGTGTGCCTTTATCTGTTCAAGACCAATCCTTGTTCATGATCCTATCTCATTCTGTCCTTTCTGGGAATAGAACCTTGTTCTAGTAATTATTTCTTCTCTACATGATATTTTCAACTTATCCCTGTTTATTGTTTGGAGCCTACACACATGCTCAGGTCTCTCCAATCCTTAAAAACGTCTGCCTCTGTTCAGTGTTCTCTCTAGCTACCATCATCCTATCTTGCTCTTTCCCTGCAAAGCCAGGCTTCAGTAAGGAAGAGTCTATAGATGCTCTATTTCCTCTCTTTTAACTCTTCAGTTCAGGTTCTAATGTCAGCTTTCTGCCCCTACTCAGGTCTCCAGGGACATTGAATTGCCTCACATCACTCGTGTTACTTAATTTCTCAGCAGCAATTGACACTGCCCACCACACCCCCTTTTTGAGACTTTGCTCCCTTGGTTTCCTGATCATTCTTTTGTCCTGGGGGCCCTCCTCCTTTCTCATTCCTCAAGTTGTTTTTCTTCCCATCCTTCCCACTGCCCTCAATCCCCCTCTATATTCTCCTCCTCCTTTTTTCTCTTTCCCCATTGATTCTCTCCCTTTGTCTACAAGTTTAAAGCCCATTTTTACAGCATGGTACAGATAAATGGCAGATGTTGTTCACAAGCTGAACACCTCCTATGGGAGTGTCCACGTTGCTGGCCTTAATGTCTTCTTCAACATATTGAAAGGCAGGTGAGTGAGATGGTTATTATAGAGATAACCTTCGATCAGTTTTAATTTCTGAAAAAAGTAAATAATTTGCAAGCTTTAGTACTTTAACCTTTATTAGTGACAGATTACTGGAGACACACCTCATGATGGATTGGAACGCAATAATGCTATGATAACATGATTGGGAAAGGCTGATGTTAGGTGTTTACATGACTATTGAATTGAATTTAATGTTAGTAACTATAGAGTTACTTCTTGGAAAATTTTGAACAGAAAATTTCATTTTGAATTTTCTAAGAGACTCATTAAGTTACCTGTTTATCCTACAAATAGGTAAAGGTCTTATTCAGTAAATATATGGGATTGGGGGGCCCCTAGTCTCCAATACTTGGAATTGAGCAGTGTGCAGATCGTTTGCCTGGGTCTGGTTGTAGGTACCCAAGAGTCCTATATTATGACAAACAGCCTCTGAGGGAACTACAATGTTAACATTCAGGTTTTAGAAAGAACTTTCAAGGATAGGGTCCTTGGAAAAGGAAGTTCCTGGGAGCTGGAAAGGATGAACTGAATGGAATACCACATATTCACTTGACTTGCTCTGTTAAGTTACAATATCTTGAAACCTGGATAGGAATAGTTTAGAGATTTATGTGAATCACGGCAGCTTAAGTCCTGAAATATTGTATATATTCTCACGGTGGCTTTTAGAATAACTTTAAATTTTACGACCTCAGTGAGTATAAAGTTTGCATGGAAAGATAATGTTTATAGCAAGCACATTTCCAACTTTATTCTTACAACCGTTTGAAGTAAATACTTCCATCATGATGAACTATTAAATACGCTTTTCCCTTAATATTTAAGTCTTCAAAGGCCAAAATTTAACCTAAAATTTACATTGGCCCAGTTCATGTTTACTAATAATACCTTTTCCCCCTCTAGCTGTCCCTGTCTACTTCTGTTTTTATCCGATTTCAGTAACTATATACAACAGCCCTCTGACAGCAGACACAACCGATTTACCTCAGCAACGTTAGATTAGAAGCTTTTTAAAAGGCAGGAACCATGTCTTATTTTTTCATTCCTGAAGTGCTTTGTACACAATCTATGTGTAATAAATAATTTTTAGAAGTTTTTGTTCTACCAGCAAGTAAAACCTTTCTAGGAAATATAGATTATTTTTTAAAGAAAAAATAGTTCATTATCCTGTTAACCAGAGATAATTACTATAAGCAGCTTAGCATTAAACCAGAGGTGGCCAACTTTTTCTGTAAACAGACAAATAGTAAATATTTGAGGCCCTTCTGGCCTTACAGTCTGTGTCGTAACCACTGGATTCTGCATTTGTGGAGTGAAAGTAGTCATAGTCAAAGAAGACAAGACAATCTGTAAATGATGCATGTGCTTGTGTTCCAATAAAACTTTACTTATAAAAATAGGCAAGTTAGATTTGGCCTATAGGCTATAGTTTGCTGACCCCTGTACAAACTATTGTTTAAGCTCATATATATATAATATGTATGATAATGTATGTGTATAATAATATATACATGTAGCAGCTATATTTCATATAGTGGTTTTACAACATGGCATCCCAAAGAGATTGCTAGATATCCTTTCAGGAATACTGGACCTCTGGGGATTGTCTGTCCTATAAGGCAAGGGCTCTCAATTGCTCCAACAAGGCAAAAATTGGTTCTTTATGGATGGAAAAAATTCCTAGTTATTAGAATGGTTTGTGGCTTTCAAAAGTTCAGTTTTACTCAACAAAATCTTATTCTTTGATATTTAGTTTGGTAGTAGGGAGAGGATGAGGTAAAAATGTCTGAAAAGTCTGCTTTGGAAAGTAATAAAAAAAAACTGAGAAATACTACTTTAGGGAAATGAGCTTTTGTCTTTGATTAGGGCTGTTTTTCCACTCTGTACTTTGTGGATAATGGACAAGTTAATTATGCAAATAATCCTTGTCTATAGACTTGCAAATGACCTGTGCACGCTGGAAAGATACCCACCCCAGACGCCCATCACCAGGAAAAAGCCAGTCTTGTGTCCATTTGTAATTTATTTCAGTATTCATTTATTCCATGTAAATTTGTGGCTCCTTAATGTCCTCTTTGAATTGGTTGAGACATTTGCCTGCTTCCCTCATTTAATGATTGATAACAAATTGAATAAAATCTTCAACAAGTGTTTCTTTATTTCATAGTCATTTTACCTTTTGAAAAATACGTAATTTAATATTTTTCATCAGTTTGTACAGTCTTTGACATTAAAAACTTTCTATGTCATTATGTCTTTTAAATATTGTAAATATTCTGTGAAATGAATATACCAGGTTTTTTTTTTAAATTTATCTCTTATTGTTAAGAACAAATTTTTCATGAATAAGCATAGATTTCTTTCTTAAAAATATGTCAAATGTGTAAAGTCATGAAGTGTGTCAAAAGTCTGTTACTTAATTTTTTTGGCACAGTGCTTGTTTGCTTTTAGTTCTCGTTGATTTTTTTTGAGGACATGGCCAGTGGACATGAAGGCCAATGCTATTTTCATGGCTCTGTTGACAGAAGGTTGCATGTGTTGCTGCTATGAATCTAAGATCATTTTGGGGAGAGCACTGTGCTCTGGCCTCATCAGAGGTACACAGAAAGTATAGGACACTGAGTATGCTTTGATGCTTGCCTTGGCTCAATGTGCCTGGTCAAGACTCTGGGTTGGCTTGTGTTCCATTTATTTCAGGAACATGGAAGGGCCGCTGTTTGTTTAAGCTTTACATTTTCTTTGCCAACTTCTCTTGCCTTTCTCTTTACCCTCTTAATGCACTGAATCTAACTTCTAGCTCCTGCATAAGTGTTTTAAAGACTTTAAAACTGCAAAACTGGGGGCGCCTGGGTGGCTCAGTCAGTTAAGCCTCTGACTTCAGCTTGGTCTTGATCTCCTTGGTTCATGGGTTTGAGCCCTGTGTTGAGGTCTGTGCTGACAGCTCAGAGCCTAGAGCCTGCTTCAGATTCTGTGTCTCCCTCTCTCTCTGCCCATCCCCTGCTCACACTGTCTCTGTCTCCATCTCTGTCTGTCTCTCTCTCAAAAATAAACATCAAATTTTTTTAGAAAACCCTGCAGAACCAAAGCCAGAAGTTAAGAAATGGATTTTCTCAGTTTATCTTGAAAATTGTGTTTAACTCTTTTGTTAAGCCTTCCTTCCTTTGTTTCTTCCTCCTGCCTTCTTCCTGAGCTTCTCTCTTTGCAGTTGGTAAATGAATGACTTTGGGCAGCAAGTGCCAATTCTCAGAATAATGTTCTTAACTTTCAGGAAACCAAATAAATGTTTCATGCACAGAGGGGAAGACAAAAGATAAAGTGGATTTTTCAAAGTGGATACTAGTTGTAGGATCAGAGTAATGAGATGGAAGTCACCTCACCTAATGTCCTATAAGGCAAGCCCATTGTTATAAATCTATGTATATCCGATCTGTTAGTATTTTTCTCATTCTGCTACGAGAGATATAAAAAGTAACACTTTTGAGATCAGCCAGTATGTTATAAAGCATGCCAAATTAAATCCAGAGGCAAGAAGATAATCTAGATCTTTGATTTTTAAACTGAAGAACATTGTAAGTTTGAACTTGTGGTAAAATCTGTTTAACATTTGGGGAAGCAATCTTTGGTAAGTGTCTGCAATTCTTAAGTAATCTTTCTGCCTACATCAGTGTCTAAATTAAGCAATTGCTTTTTTAAAAAAAATATGATAATGGATTTTATCTTTGTTACATACATACATTTGAAAATTAATACCCAAATGACGATTCCAATATGTTAAAAATCAGCAAAGAAACTAACCCGCCATTCAAAATGCAACCCAGTTGTCAGTATTACAAGCATAACCATTCTCACTAATAAAACAATTGCCGTCTGAAGTATGTGTGTATTTTAACATCTTAACTATTTTTTAGGTTACAGATCAGTGACAAAAAATATTTACACTTTGTTGTTCAAAGTCACCACCATCCATCTCCAGATCTCTTTTCAGCTTCTCTCCATCCCCTGGCAACGAATGATTTTCTGTCTCCATGAATTTGACTACTCGAGATACCTCATATAAGTGAACTCACACAGTATTTGTGTTTTTGTGACTGGCTTATTTCACTTAGCATAATTTCCTCAAGGTCCATCCATGAAGTAGCATGTGTCAGAACTTCCCTACTTTTTAAAGCTGAAAATATTCCATTGTATGCATATGTCATATTTTGCTTATCTATTCATTTGTTGATGGTTAGGAGTTGCTTCCACCTTTTGGCTCTTTCGAATAATGCTGCCATATGGGTATACAAATACCAATTTCCTGACTTTAATTATTTTGGGTAACCTGCAAGTGGAATTGCTGGATTATATGGTAATTCTGTTTTTAATTTTTTGAGAAACCACTACACTGTTTTCTACACTGGCTGCACTAGTTTGCATTCCCATTAAGGGCACACACAGATTCCAGTTTCTCTATGTCCTTGTCAATACTTGTTATTTCCTGTTTGTTGTTGTTTTTTCTCTGTTTTTGGTTTTGTTTTGTTTTGTTTTTGACATCCAAAGCATTTCCCTAATGATTAATGATGTTGAACATCTTTCCACCTGCTTAGTGGCCATTTGTATCTCTTTTTTTTTTATTTTTAATTTTTTTTTCAACGTTTATTTATTTTTGGGACAGAGAGAGACAGAGCATGAACGGGGGAGGGGCAGAGAGGGAGACACAGAATCGGAAACAGGCTCCAGGCTCCGAGCCATCAGCCCAGAGCCTGACGCGGGGCTCGAACTCACGGACCGCGAGATCGTGACCTGGCTGAAGTCGGACGCTTAACCGACTGCGCCACCCAGGCGCCCCTGTATCTCTTTTTTTTTTACTTAGCTTTTTAAAATTTTAACTTGTTTTATTTTTTATTTTTTAAAATTTACATCCAAATTAGTATATAGTGCAACAATGATTTCAGGAGTAGATTCCTTAGTGCCCCTTACCCATTTAGCCCATCCCCCCTCCCACAACCCCTCCTGTAACTCTCAGTTTGTTCTCCATATTTATGAGTCTCTTCTGTTTTGTCCCCCTCCCTGGTTTTACATTATTTTTGTTTCCCTTCCCTTATGTTCATCTGTTTTGTCTCATAAAGTCCTCATATGAGTGAAATATGATTTTTGTCTTTCTCTGACTAATTTCACTTAGCATAATACCCTCCAGTTACATCCACATAGTTGCACATGGCAAGATTTCATTCTTTTTGATTGCCGAGTAATACTCCATTGTATATATATACCACATCTTCTTTATCCATTCATCCATCGATGGACATTTGGGCTCTTTCCATACTTTGGCTGTTGTTGATAGTGCTGCTATAAACATTGGGGTGCCTGTGTCCCTTCGAAACAGCACACCTATATCCCTTGGATAAATGCCTAGTAGTGCAGTTGCTGGGTCGTAGGGTAGTTTTATTTTTAGTTTTTTGAGGAACCTCCATACTGTTTTCCAGAGTGGCTGCACCAGCTTGCATTCCCGATTTGTATCTTTTTTGGAGGAATGTCTATTCAGGTCCTTTGCCCCTTTTTAAATCAGATTGATTTTTTTTTCTTTTTTCTTTCTTTTTTTTTTTTTTTTTTTAGTTAAGTACTGGCATTTGTATGTAGATTTTGGAAAATTAAGTTTAACAAACTAATGACCATAGGAATTTTTTTCACACGATATCCAGATAAATCTTTGGGTTTACCCAAACCCAGCTAATGATATTGGGAGAACTCCCTTGAAGATATAAAAACAATGAATGTTTTGTTTGAAGATGAGACTCATTTATTTCCAACCAATAAGATCACCAATACTTAAAATTCATCTGACATCAACCAAAAGAACATCAGCCACTTAAAAATATAGAGGCTAATTTATAACTAACTTTTGTGACTATGGATAGGTAATAGTTGACTAAAATAATTCTATAACACATCAGGTAAGTATTACCAGGTGTTAAATGAAGGGCAAGTTCTTGGATGGTAAAGAGATGAGACCTCTCAGTTTACATTTCAGCAAAGGGTCAAGGATTTGTTAGTGTCCTAGTGAAGTATGCTAAAAGTGCTAGCTTGTCCTTAAGTTGTGGAAAGAAAGGTTGAGAAATGGGTACTAGAAATCTGGGCAGGCTTCAGGGTGATCCTACAGGCCAGATAGCTTTGGCTTTAAGCACAGGAGCTTAAAACCTAAGCATCAAAGTCCGTCATATTATGGTCTCATCTTGTTTACCTGCCCTAACTTCTCATTCTCTTCTCAGATTATTCTTCCCAGCCAGGCCAGCCTCCTCTTCATTCCAAGAGCACATTATATTCCTGTAGCAGGTGCATCTCAGACCATGAGGTATGCAATTCATGTGACTATTTTTCTAATAGTTCCACTTCCATTTCAAGCCATGATTCTGAGGGGTTATGGAAACTCAATCTCAGTAAAAACAGCATTTCCCTGTATCCAGGCCCTAGAGGTGTAAGGTGAGCCAAGGCATCAAGTGAAAAGCCCATAATGCCTTGGAATCTTCTCTCCAGTCTTTCCTCACCTGTCTCTTTCCCCCAAGGCTGGAGGATAATTCTCTAGCTCCAGAATGGAGACAGTTTGCTTTCACTCACCCTAGTCCTTTTCTCCATGGCATGACTCCTTCCCCTTCTATTAAGAGCCTAAAATTGTGAAAGTCAAAAAACAAGAGACTTTTTTCTTTCTCTTGCTACATACCTTTCCAAAGGCAAGGCATGCATACCAGCGGGCTGACTGCCTGAAGGAAATGGTGAAGCAGGGGTGGGGGTGGGGTGTGGAGGATGGGGATGCAACATTTCTGGAAAAACAATCAGTTAATATTTAAAAATGTAACTTCAACCCTGTTACCTTTGATCAGTTTGTGCTTCCTCCTCTTTTTCACCTATTTTGCTCTACTTTCCCTTCAAGCTTTGGTTTAATTCCTTCCCTCCTCAATGTACTTGCTCATATTCCTTTACTATAGGCCTTATAATTTATACCACACAGTCTTCTGTTGAATGTGTTATAACTGCTGCAGGACTGAAGGAAAAGTCACCTCGCCCAAAGTCTTCTGCCAGGTTAGAATTGCTAAGGCATCCCTCCCAAGTGTTTTGTTTAATCCAGTGGTTCTCAAAGTGGTTCTCTGGACCAGTAGCATCAAGTGGGAACTTGTTACAAAATGCAAATTCTCAAGTCTCTCTCTAGATCTCCTGAGTCAGAAACTGTGAGGGCGGGTCTAGAATCTGTGCTTCCAGATTCAGAAGCCACCCAGGGGATTCTGATGCACACTGTTTGAGAACCACTGGTTTTAACCAGCATTAGCCACTTGAAGGAGAAGTTAGCTTAATAGTAGTGATCTTAGTGTTTAAATGCCTGTTGTCTGTGCTTGAATACTCCTACATGATAGGGCACTCATAACCTTAGAAAGCAGCCCCGTCAACTTTGGAAAACTTTGACCTATATTGGTCTGATCTCGTAACCATTGGTTCATATTTAGCTTCCTAGAACCATAGGGAAGAAGTCAAATCTCCTATCCACATGACGGGCTAAAATATCTCAAAATTACCATCGTTTGCCTCTCCCAGCTCTTCTTATCCAGGCTCCAAGTGGCATGAGTTTTGAGTCCCTCAAACTGTCTTTTTTGCACACTGCAGAACACAATCCCATTTGTTTATAATTCTCTTTAATGAGCTCTGCACAGAATTGAAAGCTGTAGTTTAGGGTCTGACAAGCTACAGTGAAGTGATTATCAATTCCTGGCTTGTGATACTGTACTCCTAGGAACATAGACTAATATGGGCTTATTTGGGTTTTGGGTGTTTTTTTGTTTGTTCGTTTTGTTGTTGTTGTTTTTTTTGGTGGCCACATCGTTAATTCATACAAAGCATATTGTCAGCTGAAATTCTTTGCTATTTTCTTGGTCTTTTTTTTTTTTTTTACCTTTATCTTGGTCTTTTTTACAGATACAAATGCTATATCATATAGCCTCTATTTTATACCTGTAGGGGAAGTTCTTTGGATATAAGTGTGTAGTTATGCCTATTATATGTTTTGTGATTAGTTCTTTGATGATTAACTGACACAATTAGCTTTTGGGGGAAATATGTATCTTTTGTCCCTTGAAGTATATCCCAGATGGTATAAGAAGTACTAATAGATACTTTAGAAATTTGTAATTGTACTGATAGAAATCTCCAATGCAAAAGAAAGTCATCTTTTTCTTGAGTTTTATAAAAGGTATTCATTTGACACTAGGTTTATTGCTTTAAGACCTACAAGTTGTGACTGAATATAAAGTAAAAACACCACTTGCTTTTCATAGCAAACGTCTAGAATTTATATATAGTGCTTTTCAAAGTTATCCTATTGGATGATTATATTATCAGCCTGTAATCTGTCAAAATAATTTTATAGTTGCATCTTGTATTTAGAATTGCTTCCAGGGGCGCCTGGGTGGCGTAGTCGGTTAAGCGTCCGACTTCAGCCAGGTCACGATCTCGCGGTCCGTGCGTTCGAGCCCCGCGTCGGGCTCTGGGCTGATGGCTCAGAGCCTGGAGCCTGTTTCCGATTCTGTGTCTCCCTCTCTCTCTGCCCCTCCCCCGTTCATGCTCTGTCTCTCTCTGTCCCAAAAATAAATAAACGTTGAAAAAAAAAAATTTAGAATTGCTTCCAGGAGCTGTTTTATGAATCCCAGAAGAAAAGTTTTCTCATTTTATAATGAATTTTTTAAAAATCAAGTTGGATTTCTTCATATTGATACCCATCTGAGCCTCTAGTATTATATTCCAAAAGCCATGTGTGTGTGTCTATATAAGGGTAGTACTTGGCAGAAATTCTGTTAAAAACTTTTCAAAATGATTTCCAACAATGGCAATATCCTTGTGAGGTGCAACTAATGTATAATTAGATACATACCTTTATGTGTTTTCCTCTTATGGTGACTTTGCCTCACACATTTGTTGCATCAAATGTCTCCACCCTAACAGAAGAAACAACAAAAAATATATATTTGACCTCATAAAACAGAATTCAAAAATTTGTGAATCAAAGTAACCACACCCCCTAAAATAGTAGAAAATAAAAATATATTCAGTAAATATTGTAAAATGTACCCAACTTGATAAGACTAAGAACTCAATCATCAAACGAGAAGAGGCATGAGCTTGCTTATGCTACAAAAGGAATTGTGCTTCTTATATATAACGTGTGGGATAAGAACTAATATTTACTAGGTTCTTGGGATATGCCAGTCATTTTACATTGAGTCCGCATGAATTAGATCTGATTATTCTGTTTCACAGTAGAGAAAACTGAGGCTCTGAGAGGATAAGTTGCCCAAGGTCACGTATCAAATAAGTAGCCAAATAGGTACTTGGACCCAGGCCTGTAAGGCTCCAAATTCTGTTCCCTTTCTGCTATTTTCTATGAGGAATACTAAGAACTGAAAGATACAGTTTCTGTCCCCATGGAGCTCAGAGAACTTTGTAGAAAAATATATAAAGATATGGATTTTTTTTTCATTCTCTGTGCAAGTCAAAGAAAGCCAAGTTAAAATTAAAAATAAATTGATTGAATAAAAATAATTTTAAAATGGCAAAGTTTAATTTTTATAAGAATTGATTAAAATCAAGACTTTTTCTAAAAAATGGCTATTTTGAAAGAAATTTAGCATATAGATCAATATTTATACCCTTTTGTATATTCTTTATCATTAATTTATTTTTGTAACCTCAGCCTATGACAACATTCTAAATTCACAAAAATGGAGTGAAAGTATTACTGGCTGAATTGGTAAAAACCTGTGTTTCTCCTTTATGCCCACACTATTATTACTGCACTCACAACACTTCAATTCTGATACCAGATCTGTGGGTTTTCCACACATCAAGCAATTCTGTGTTAGACCAGCTGGATATCCTATGACTCAATTCAATTCTGACACTGTTTACCTGGAGTTAGTGTCAAATTCGACAAGCGCTCAGTGCTACAAGACTGCCTCCACTTCAGATGTGAATCACAAGCTCCAGGTTGTCCCCTGTGTTCCTGACCAAGCATTTACAAATCACAGTTCTTAACAACCCTGGGTATGGATAGAGAACCAGATGAAAACATATATAGGACAAGGTTTCAATGGGTCCCAAGATGAAGAGCTCTGTCCCCATGGAGTTGACTTACATTACCCTCCTGGCATGTACATGTGTTCACCAACCTAGAAGCTCTCCAAACCCATACTTTTGGGATTTTTATGGAAGCTTCATCATGCCGGTGCGATGATCATTAACTCAATCTCCAGCCCCTCTCCTATTATTTGGAGAGGGTGTGGGACTAAAAGTTCCAAGCTTCTAATCATGGCTTGGTCTTTCGAGTGACCAGCCTCCATCTTGAAGCTCTCCAGGAGACTACCAAACATCATCTCATTAGAACAGAAGATACTCTTATCACCAGGAAATTCCAAGGGATTTAGGAGCTCTGTGTCAAGAACCGTCAAAAAACCAACTATTAAAATACCAAGATTCTTCTAGTGCTCTTATCACTTGGACCTTTACAAGGGTTTTAAGAGTTCTGTGCCAGGAACTGGGGGCAGAGACCAATACGTAAGTATTTTCTATTATTTTATGCTAACAGTATTAATTAAAAAACAGGAAAGAATTAGGAACAGCCCATATATCCAATTTATTACCTGAATGGTAGGTAAACCAGTTTGGTCGGTCTGTGGGATATTATGCCACCATTAAATTAATAATTATAAGACTGTAGCATTATAAAAATGTTTTCATTATAATAGAAAGTCACATTTGAATATATAACAAAGCAATTACTTATGATTTATGTTGTAAGAAACAGAACTATTGCATAAAAATGATGTAAATATATGAAATACTGATGTATTATGGTGATGGGATACTTTTAGAAATGGCATTCTTTTTTCAAATTTTTATGAATCTCTATTAATTTCATAATGAAGGGAAAAATCTGCAAACTTTCCTGGTATTCTTTGCTATTGCAAGACAAACCACACTCTTTGTTTTCTAAACTTATGCCTTAGCTCCAATAAAACTAGGTTTTTGTAAACCAGTTTTGATTATGGGATAAATTTAATCAAATATTGGTAGCTCAGTCTTCAATACTTGTCAGTAAGGGAAAAACAACATATTTGACAGTTAAATATAACTGTCACAGCCTCTCTATTCATTGTGAATGTGTACAATTAAAATTTTGAAGTCACTATGGCTTCTAGGATTAATGGTTGAGATTGGGATGCATGTTCAGTGTCTAGGTTTCCAAAGAAAGTACTTCCTTTCATTGGGCCCTGGGTGTGTGTACATTGTGGGATAGAGAATAGGCGTTTAGAGAGCTTGCTATTGAGATGCAAATTCTCTTTGGCTCTGGTCAAGGCTGTTGGGACTTCCTTACATATTTTTGAAAGAAGTATTTTGAAAGAGGAATGGTTTCTTAGTTCTACTGGGACCTCAGCTCAGGAGTTGGTGACTCTCTGGTGTCACATAATGAGCTAGGTTGCTGAGCCTGCATGGATGACTGGACAGGAACAAGGACCTCACATTAGATGTGGGCAGGCATGAACTCAAGGCCTGGGGAAGGAATAAGTGGGATGTGGGTTTGGTGAGAGGTGGGTGGGCTGGGGAGGGTTGGGTGCTAGGGAGGGGACAGGGTAGAGCTCCATCAGGGATGGAGCTGGCTCAAAATAAAAGACATGCTCACAGAACCAAAGGGTGGGCACAGACTTGAGCATTAAGCCTCATCAAAGAAAGCAAAGGCAAGAAACAGGAGCCAGGGATGATGCTGGGCTGCAGCCCAGGGGAAGTCTGGTGCTGCACGTAGGAGCAAGGGAAGAGCAGTGCCCAGGTGGAATCTGGGTTGGGGGGGGGGCGGAATTCTTTCCACATCCAGCTGCCTGTTATTACTACTCATACTCTCCAGGTGCAGAGGATCCTGAGCCCAGAGTTCCCCAAAGGAACTCAATAGCTTCTGACTAAATGCCAGATGGGGTTTTTTTCTAGTGTGGATAGAATCTAGTCTCTTAGCAAGTTTGATGATTATAATACAATAATGTCTATATTCCATATACTGTGTATTAGATCTCTAGAACTCATTTATCTACTAATTGCAAGTTTGTACACTTACATGTCTCTTCTCCCACCCCCCCACCCCCAGCATCTGGCAACTACCATTCTACTCTTTGATTTTTATGAGTTCAGCTTGTTTAAATTCCATATGTAAGTGATATATCATAGAGTATTTGTCTTTCTCTGATTTATCTCACTAAGCATAACATCCTCTGGATCCATCCATGTTGTTGCAAATGGTAGGATTTCCTTCTTTCTCATGGCTGAATAATATTCCATTACGTGTAGATAGATGTTAGATGGAGGTATATAGAGAAGTTTATCCCCATTGCACCTCAATTATCTTATTTGAAAAATGGACATAACAATACTGACCTATTAAGATTATGAGGAATAAGTAAAGAAACGCTTGCAAAAATGCTCAGGATGTTACAGTAACATAAGAAATAATATTATCATTTTGATGGAGTTACCCAATGAGAAGAAATGTTGGAATATTTTACAAGATTAACTGCTATTTAAAAGTATGTTTCTGGTGTTAGAGATATATGGTCAGCATGGACCAGATCTTTTTCTGAGAAGAACCACTTGTTGACTTCTTCTCAGAGATATGAATATTTGTATGGTAAAACCATACCTGTTTATGTAGCAAGATGGAAATGCTTACACTGCAATCAACAAAAAGAAAAACAGATGAATAGACAATAGAGTCAAGTATTTATGATTCATGTTATAAGATACAGTATAAAGATGAAGAAAATACATGAAATACAGATATATTATGGCAGTGGAATAGGATTTTATTTGGCCGAACAATACCCATACTGTTCTTGGTATACAATGGTTGCTGGTTGGAGAGTGAAAGCATATTTCCACAAGATGCCATGAAACTTTTAAGAATAAAAAGATGAAATCTTCACTCTTCCCTTTTGGGGTTCAATAATGTTAGAACATCTCTGACCTCTGGGCTGAGGTAGTTCCATCTGAAGTCATCAGTCAGGGGAGACCAGATTTCTCCCACCCAGGAAGAACATCCCTATGAGAAGGGGAAGGGTCTAGGCTTGTCCGCATGTTACATACAAGGGCCTAAATCGTGATAGGGGAAGACTGGTTCAGAGTTGCTCATTGAACCCTCACAAAAACTGTATAAGGTAGGACCTAGTGTCACCCTATTTTTCTCACTACAAAATTTAGGCTTAGAGAGGTTAAGAAATTTGCCCCAAGTGAGAGTGCTAGTTGGGGCTTGAGCTTCATCTATCTCTAGGGTCCTTGGATCTCACTGCTGTACTCTCCCTGCGATTAAGATCTCTTCATGGCTTTTCTCCTCCATAGCTGACAAAATAAAGAAATGCAAGTCGGGGTTAAGGATTAGGACAAATACTGCAGTGAGGAAGGTACTGGTAATTACAGGAAGAGAACCTAAAAGGGCTTTGAGGTTTCCTGGCCGCCTGCAGGAGGGTGATAATTATGTGATGTAATCCACATTCTTCCCTGACTTTTGGAAAGAAAACCCAAGAATTTTCAAGATGATTGCCGAAGATTAAAGGTCATTCTGTGGCCATGTAGAGATTTTTCTTTTTTTCTATGCAAACTTGATCTTTTGGAACCTTAATGATCTCATCTGTAAAATAAGAGGGTTGTACTAAGTCATTGTTAAGGTTCTTTTCCTGCTCTGATGTTTGTGAGTCCAGGAATTTATAAGCTTTTTCTGGTGTTTAACTTTTGCCCTTAGCCTCTTTAGCACTATGATCAAAACTAATGGACTCAATTTAAAGTTTATGTGGCAGGTAAGGAAGCCAGGACAAAGGATTTAAGGAAGGTTCTGAAGCAGGGAATATGGCAGCAAAAGGTTTTACAGCTATGTGTTAAATGGAATTGCAAGGATAGAATTCGG